AGCTGCTTGAGCCTAGATGACCAGACACTATGGGAATGGAAGTAAGAGCCAGTGGGTGCCCCAAAGGTGCTGGTTTTAGGGTGGTGAGCCAGCCAGCCCTCCCTGAGCCCAGAGCTCTGTTCATGAATGCACCCTGAGCCCTCCTAGCCACCGAGCCAATCTCTCCAGCCTTCCTCACACATTTGAAACAGAACTGTAAGATGCTTTCATGAGAAACCTAAAAATTCAATTTGGGGAACAAACTCACACAAGGCAGAATAGTTTCTGAATGTTAGCATGTGAGCGGGTGGAAATGAAAACAGACCTTTATTGGAATTCCAGGAAGAAAGACAATGCTGCCACCTGGCCATGCTTCCCTCTCTCTGACATTTAAGACATGCTGCCAGCATCTGTAGTCACTGTTGTCCCCACGCAGTCAGGAGGTCCCCCAGCTTTAGTGGCTGTTCCTTTAACGGCTGTATCTTAAAGTCCATTTTCAGAGATGTTCAGATGCAATCAAGAAGTTGTGAATGAAAATAAGTCTGCAGTGTTCTTGTGTTTTAGTGGGGGAGGCAGACAATAAACAAAGCAGTAAGTAGAAAATGCTATACCCAGGGAAAGCGGGGGTGGGGGTGGGGGGTGGTCTAAACTCTGGAGAGTGTTTGAATAAGAGAGATTTGAGGAGAGATCTGCCTGATGGGAGAGCAAGGCTGGTCCATGTGTGGAGCAAGAGGCTTCAGAGAACACCCAGAGTGGTATCCTTGCCTTTAAATGGCTGGGGTGTTAGTGTCCAAGGGCAGACACTAAGTGGCTTTGAGGTCAGAAGTCCTAAAATCAAGGTGCCTTCTGGGCCGAGACTCTTCTAGATGCTCTTGGGGAGAACTGACACCTTCTCCAATGCCTAGATGACATCGCATCCCTTGGTTCATGATCTCCACACTAACAGCCTTTGGCAGGAATCTGCCTGCCTCTGCCCTCTGGCTTTCCATCTTGAGAATACTATGGTCACCTTGGACCCCAGAAAAATCCCAGACATAGCCTTCCCAGCTCTACATCTCACTCTACAAAACCTACTCTTGCATAAAAGAGGAAGAGGCTTTTCACAGGCTCCAGGGATTAGGGCCCAGGTGTCTTGAGTGGGCGGGGCCTTGTTTTGATGAGCACCTGGGGTTTGTGACATTCACTGTTTTAGAATTTAGAAGAACTCTAAATGGCCTTGATATTTAGTCTGCACTCAGGAACCCATGCCAATAGTTTTCCAGAGGAGATACACAGGCATCATGGCTCTTTAACAACATTCCCCAAAGTCAGGCCACTCTGTTGCCGGTGTTCAGGACCACCGTTTTCATTTTCTGTTGGCAGTCTGAACTCCTCTCTCTACCTGTGAGGTTGTTCTCCGTGAGTGACCACAAGCAGAGGCATTCTCTGTGCACAGTGCTTGTAATACACATAGAGATCCTTCCTTCAATAGCAAGAGACACAGTCGTGTTAAGAGGACCATCTCACTAGCATGATTATGCAGAACATTACAGTAAAAAGGAAAGAAAAAGTGACTCTTTTCGAAAGCCAACTTCTCCTTCCAAGGGGACCGTTGCTTATCTATTCCATTCATGTAACTCAGCATCCCAGGAGTGCTAGAGAGGAGAGATGGGATTCCATCCATGCTTCTCAATCTGCTCCTTTTCCTAAATAAACCTGAACCCTAAATTTATATTGACTTTCTAAAAGTGTCTCCGTCTGCATCTCTCTTCCCCCTTACTTCCTACACGCAATCCAGCTCTATTTATCCTTATACTCCCATTTCTCTTTGTCATTCTTCTCCCTTAAGAGGAACCAGGTAAACCATATTCTGGTACCTCTCAGACCCTCTGGCCATGTGGAACCAGGGCTGAGGGTTCCACAGTTCTGTTAGTTCTGTCAGTTGGGTCTTAACTTCAGGTGTCTCTCACTAGTTTTATTCCTTGTACACAAAGTCCCCCTAATCACTTCATAAAACTCTTAAAACAGACCCTGGCAGTGCCACTAAAACTTTTCACTAGGTAAGAGTCTTGCACTTTTTAGGGATAAGCTAATACTTATTGGTCATTTAAATCTGTCTCTCTCAGCCTACAAGAGACATGAATTCTTTGAAGAATGTTTCCTTGGCCAGACATAAAAGTGAGTTAGGACACCTCCAATATACCCATGAAATGAAGCACAGTCCTACAAGTCACCACTGTCTTGAGCTCTGTCTGTCTCAGGCCAGCTTCTCTGAAGTTTGGGTTTTTGTCGTGGGTAAAGCACATAAGATCATACATTCTACCCAGATTGCCCCGGCATGCTTTCACCCTGCAACACACCTAGGCAACTGTGGCCACTGTAGCTGTCCTAAACCAAGGTGAGTCTATGATGCCTCCCTGCTTTCAGGAACTGCAACTTTGCTCCACCCAAGATGGACCTGTTTGGTAGACAGATCTGGAGAGTAATTTATTGGGGGAATTTTACTTTTAACTGAATCATAACCATGCATGTTCTTACTGCAAGCATCTGTCTTGCAGAAGGCTTTACCTGACATTTATTAGCATGCTTTCCAAAGGCCAACATGAGAAGGGCATCTGACAATATTTTGAAAATGGAGCTGGGGAGATCAATTGCCTTCTGGCATCTTGACCTTGAACTTTTACTCCATCAAATGCTGTGTTTGGTGACTATCACTTAGCCACTTGTACATGTCGTGGATCTGTGCCCAGGGGTGGCTGCACAAGTTGAGAACAGTGCCAGCATCTCTCTCTACTATGTTTTCTGTGTTTCTACATCTGGGTTTTAGAGTTTCACTAATAATGATATTAACAAAGTAGAAATTCGCACTTTGGTCTTAGTTCTGAGAACTGGTGAATTGTGAGCTAGTTTTCTTCTCTGATTACCAGGGGCCAAGTGTTGTTAGTAGCTTAGAATTGTAAGGTACAGGAAGACTGATTGCACGTGAGGTTATGGTGGGGACCATAGAACACCATCTATAGACTCTAGCAAGCACAATGACGCTCTTGCAGACCACAAGCACAATGGTTTCATCCCAAGTGAAACAGCCAGTGGTTAAAAAATCTCCCTACTAATGTTCTATGACAGATCTCACCACAAAGACCGTCAGTGCTTGAGCATCCCCTTCTAGTAAGTGATGAGATGTTCACTGGTACAAAAGAGAATCCGAAATCTGAGATCTGACTCCTCCCAGTGTAGAATGTAATAATGTAACTAGTGAGATTGCCAATAACACCTAAACAATCCTAATCATTTAGTTCAGCCCTTCCCACCCCTTTCTGGATTTAGAGTGAACTTGGAATAAACCTTTGCGATGGAGAGGAAAGTAGTTACACTTGAGAGCTCCCATGACAGCTGCCTCTAGATACTTCCTCCTCTTGATCTATTCTGATCTTAGCTGGTCAACAGCATCACCATTAACATTTCCTGAAAAGCACTTGACCACTTGGGCTGTTAGTTTACATCTAAGTACATTAAGCAGATCTGGGGGAAGTTTCTGATGGGCCAGTTTGACTTACTTGGTTATTTCACAGCTAAACTCTTAGAAGAAAATGTCTCCCTTACTTTGAAGCAATTCTTTTCTTTTTCTTTTTTTTTTATTTTATTTTTGAGGGTGGAGGCTCATGTGGTAAGTCTGCAGTCTGCAATATAAGCAAGAGCCTGCACTCAGTGAGTGCCTGTCCTGAGTCAAGGACTCCACTGGTTTTCTTTCAAAAAACCTTAAGCGGCAGATGCTATCTCTCGGTTTAAAGAAGAGTGAAGTGAGCGCAAGAGTCTGTCACTAATGGCAGAATCACTCTTCAGGAATGAGAACAGATCGTTTGGAAATACATTGGAAATGCAGAAGTGAGTAACAGTAGCGCAGTCCTTCCTGGGGGAATATGATTTCTGCCTCTCCTCTTGTCCCAGGTCTAGAATAAAAGGGAGGGTTCTGCAGACAATCTTAGTATGTTGATGAGCAACCAGGACAAAAAAAATTATTCTCTCAAGCTCAGATCAAGCTGTACATACCACAAGGCAGCCAATTGTTTTTACACTGGGTGTTTTAACTCAGTTCCATTTCCATATAAAACTTTTTCATGATAGGAGAAAGACCTGCCCCCACACTAAAACAGTTTGCCACGTATTTTAAGCTCAGATGATAGTCTGAACCCTACTGAAACACAAAGACAATGCTTAATTCTTGTCTCTTTATCTAAGCCCTGCTTCCTTTAGCCTTTTCTTACCGAATCAAAGCATGGGGGTTTCTTTCTGTTCTTAAACATTCTGAGGAGTAAATAACTGTAAACTGACATCTAAATAATGGATAGGCTTATGGAGCTAGATACGAAACTTCTATACCCCGGTGTGGTTTGTTACCTCAACATGTTGATGTTAGGACCAAATGTCAAAATGGGTTAAATGTTTCACAAGTTAAAATGTTTGCAGTTCTTAAGTTTTGAGCAAATATCCAACTTTCTGTCAGTTTCTCTGAGGACTGCTTTCAGGCACATTGCTATGTTTCACGGTAATCTTACAGTTAATGCAATGCAAACTTGTTAGAGTGGAAAGCATGTATTTCTTTTATGGTATGTATTTTTTGATAGGGGAAATTTCAGTGCTTTTCTGTCTTTTAAACTGCCCATCGTGTTTTCTATTCACAGATGTTCTGTTTTGAATAAGGTCTATCTAAGTGTAAAACTAGATGGATACTTTTCTTCCCTTTAAAATGGAATGGACTTGCCTTCTGCAGTGTTCTTAGGTGAATTTTCTTGTTTAAGAAGCCAGAATACAAGAGAGAGCTATATTAGTGCATTATTCTCACAGCAAACAAGCCCCGTTCTGTCGCTACCTGCTTGGCCATTGTTTCTGATTGTGTGCGCTGTGCAGTGGTGTTTGGATGGCTTCCTGCTCTCCTCTAGCACAAAAAGGCATTTCTGTTACAATGGCCCCTAACCACACAATGACGGCATTAAGGATTTATGTGGAGGTTTCATTATTTTCTCCTCTTTTGTTCCTTCCAGGATGTCTTCCAAGCGACCAGCCTCTCCGTATGGGGAGACAGATGGAGAGGTAGCCATGGTGACAAGCAGACAGAAAGTGGAAGAGGAGGAGAGCGAGAGGCTCCCAGCCTTTCACCTTCCCTTACATGTGAGTTTTCCCAACAAGCCTCACTCTGAGGAATTTCAGCCAGTTTCTCTGCTGACGCAAGAGACTTGTGGTCCTAGGACCCCCCCTGCTCAGCACAACACAATGGTAGGTTTCTCATGGTCTCCCTGAATGCCAGTCTAGTCCTCTAATAGCTTGGCTTCAGTCTTTTGCTTGAAATAATCATGTGTTTAAGAACAACACAGAAGACTCACCTCAGGCCTCATAAAATTCCTTCAAGTAAGCAGGCTCTCCAAGGGAACATGAATGATGTTTAGGTCTTTGTTTGCTTTTCAAGGAATCTGCTTCTGACACATGATGGGAGAAAACCCATACAAAATGTAATGATCATGCCAAGATGGCATGGTTAAAGTTAGCCAGAATCAAAGTTGGCTTCTTATTCTTTCTCATGCAACGTTGAGGTAACAATTAATTGTAAATGCTTACCTTCGGCATTGTTAATCTTCATGGGTCAAAAAACCTTCAACCCCTTGACCATATGATCAGATTTTCCCGCCAGTTTTACACACACACACACACACACACACACACACACACACACACACACACACACACTTTTTACTACCACAGTAACTCATAACTTTCACAATTATCTGGCTAGGTACTACTATTACTTCTCTTTTGTATTTGAGGAAACTTAGGCAAGGTGAAATTAAAAGATGTTCCAGGTCACAGAAACTGGACATATAGTCAGGCTGGCTTCCAGGTCCACGGTCCTGACCTTTATTCATGAGAACACTGGGCAAACTCAGCCACATTCTCCACAGTTGCTCACTCTTCCTGACTTGGTCACTTTCCACTCAATGCAGGGGGCAGGTGGGTAGGGACACCTGAGGTCAGCACAGTGAGTATTGTGTCTCTGCAACATCTCATCTGCTTATTGTTTTGACTACTGTCCTGCTGTCAGGTGCTACCCAACTAAGAGAGCTCATTGGATGGATTTCTCCTGTGATAGCGAAATTCATACATATATCTGAAGGGCTGAGTATAAACAGTGATGGCTCAAACAATGATGCCAAGGTAACGATAAGGAAATTTTAAGCATATTCAAAGATGAATGACCCTGAGAGAGGCAGAATAATACGTCACCAGAAGTGGGGACATTGGGGACACTGTGTAGAAGTTCTGTTCTATGGTCTGTAGGTCTCCTAGAAAGCTAGAATAGACTCTGTTTATAAGGATATATCAAGGGCTAGTGAGATGGTTCACATGGAAGGATGCTGGCCACACAGACACAGCGAAAGGAGCTACGTCCACAGAACTCATCCTAGGAGGAGAGAATCAACTCTTGAAAGTTGTCCTCTGACCTCCACATGTTCAGCTTGCTGGACATGTGTCCATGCTCACACATACATAGGTACACAATAATACTCAGTAAAGGTATTCAAAAATTAAAACAATGGATCTGAGTTTGTGCTATGGGTTCCAGTGAATTCTTCAGTAGTTCTATGACCCAAAGTGGTTGAGGTCCACCATGGTGTGAGTTTTTAGGGTTTGTAAGTAAATGACCCATCCCATATCAGTGACATCAACATTTGGAGTTTCTTGAACCACCTGAGTGGTTTCTCCCTCAAATCTTTCTTGCACTGGTCACCTTTTCTTCTTCTCAGCCTTCTGTTGGATCATTCTCCCTTTTGCATCTGATTTGATTACCTGAGAAAGGATGGAGTGTCATCCTCACTGTCGAATGTGTGTGTCCCGCTGTCCCTTTCAGGATTTAGCCCAAAGTTGTACAAACCACCCCACACTACGATTGGGTTTCTTCTTTTGCAATCAGCATGGGACCAATGCTTTGGTCATGCCAGCATCACACATAGTCATTAGCATGGCTGGGTACCTTCAAGGACAGCTCTACACATCCTCCTGGGATATCTTTCTGATGTTTAAATTCATCTTCATGGTGAATACTGCTTTTCCCACGTGACTAAGTGAAAGGTCACCACATCCTAGATGGGTCCACTTTGTTCTTGGACAGTGGCTAGCACATTGTTCCTTCACCCATAGTACACTGTATTCTTTCTCAGGCTCCACACTATGACCTGTGCCTTGAGATGTTTGTCTCTACACAATGTGCCCAGTGTTTCTTATTGATGCTCTCCCTTTCTCTCTCCCTCTTCTGGAATATAGCATGAAATAGATACTCAGTTTATGATGATTTGATAAGTACTTGAGTTGATGTGGCTCAACAAATACTAAGTATTTGGGGGTAAAGTTGCCAAACATGTCAATTCTTGGTGATATTTCTGAGAAATTTTAGAACTAGAGTGATACCCACTAATGTACTTTCTGAGAAGAAAAAGAAATCAGAATGGAATCTCTTAGAAGAAAACCTGTTTTAAACATTTATCAAAATGGTTGAATGCATTTATGGTATTATTACCCAACATGAATAATTTCTTTTTTTATAATGGACTATTGTTTTACCCACACAATAGAGTCTTATGTTTCACGAGGAAATGTATTCTCTGCGTTTTTACTCAGTGCTTTTGAAAATGGAGAATGCTTCATACTCTTCGTGTTGTAGAGTACTTCCTGCAAGCCTGACTGGCAGAATCAGTGGAAGCCTTCCCATATAAACCTCAGTGCAAAGATACTTCCTGAGAGGAAACTTGTACACTCTGTGGCCATCACCAAATAAAGATGATGGAAGTGTTAAGGCCTGATAAGAATGTAAATCTACCCCCTCTGAACTCGTGTGTATTTTCTTAGTGTTTGGAGACATAAACTGAAACCTGTCTAGGAGAAACTCCTGAGTAGCTGTAATCAGCACAAGTGCTGCCAACTAAGTTCTGCATGGGCTTTTGACTTGCTGGGGGCAATGTATTCCTAAGCTTGTGATATGTGTGGTCCTGTGAGACTATCAGATACCTAATGCTTGCGGGATTCAGGTGCAGGTGGGTAAAATGAAGGCAAAGGGGGATGCTACTGTTTTCTTTAAAGAAGCCCTCCAAACTTTGCCAGCCAACTAACAGCAGAACCTGACTCCCTGATCATCTCCAAAAAGCTGTGCCAAAGAATGCTTCTGCCATGAGTGGATGACTGTCATGACCTTTAACCTATTGATGATAAAGGTCCTCCTGCATCTTTTGTTGTTTTTTTTTTCATATATGTGTCCTGTGTGTAGGTATAATTAACTGTCTGTATGTGTGCCAAAACATGTGCGGGTGCGTGTGCACGTGTACACCCCCCCCACACACACACAGGTCCAATTTCGGTAGCGGTGTCTTGTTTGGGTGTTTTCCACCTTATTTTCTAGACAGTATCTTGGAGTGCATGTGGAGCTCACTGGTCCTGTCTGGCCATCCGTCCCAGGTGTCTTTCTGTCTTTGCCTCCCCAGGGCTAAGATTCCAGGTACACACTGCCACAAGTGATTCTGACAGGGGTGTTTGGCTTCAAGCCTCTGCCTGTGCAGCAAGGACTCTTCAGACCCAGTCTAATCATCTTCCCAGCCTGTGGGCTTTAGTTATGTTTTATCTGCTTCCTTAAAGTGGACTTGGTTGTTGCTTCAAAGTTTCAGAGACAAAAGGGTAGCTCTGTGATTCAGGCTAGCCTGAAGGACAGTTCTGTCTGACATGGACCAGCCAAATGGAAGACGCAGGCAGTCTCTAGCAGGTGATCTCACACCATTCAGCACAAGGGTGTGTGAGTGTCCAGAGGGATGGGAGCAGCTCTGAAGAGATAAGGAGCTCTGGTGCTCTCAGTGGGGCAGCCCCTGGCGCTCATTTTCTGTCTGGTTGCGTGCTGCATCTGCTGGTGAGCTCTCAGCTCCAGTGCAAATGTGATGCGAAATGAAAGCCACCACCACCCGTGGTTCCAGAATAATCTGTTGTCTATTTTTTTTAAAGCCTATTCTGTCTCTTTCAAGCTTCCTTTTGATTCTTTAAACCGTTCTTGTTTTGAAGGAACAATATGTTATTTTCAATATGAAATCATTGGAGTGGCTTGCTCTACATGTAACTGAATCTTATTATTATTTTTTTAATAGGTGCACAGATACCTCTGCTTTGCATTGTTTCAGGTCCAACCAGTAGCCTGGTGCATCCTAGACAAGAGCAATGTCAATGAGCTGTGCTCCAGACCTTTCCTTTAATGAGACAGGATCGTAGGTGCCATATTGCCTCTGACTCTGGCTCAAGTGTCACCCACCTGTCACTCTCCTGAGTGACTGCAACTGAAGTTACACCCCACTGTGCCAGGATATGTGTGTGTGTGTGTTTTGTGTGCATGCAATATGTGTGTGCACACACAGGTATAATGTATTATATATATTTGAAATATATTTTAGTGTCTCATTTAGAGTTGCTACGTAGGGTATTTTTCTGGAATTCCTCAGAACTCAGTCTCCATGATTGTCATGTCCTCCTATGGCACATGTTTGAATGAGTGTGCTGCCTTCCACACTGCAGAACCTGAGTGTGCTGAAGTAACAGTTGGTGTGAGTCCACTCCCTCCTCAAGTCCATCAAAGAAATTTTGAAAATGTGTTTTTACGATAACTTTTCATAAACCACACAGTGTTGGGGCTTTCATGTGTACCATAGCGGGGCTCCAGTATGTGAAAGGCAGCTTTAGTCACTGAGTAAACTCTCATCCAGTGTACAGAGAAGAGAAAGGGGTTTGCAGATGTGCTGGGGACCACGTTCGATTACCTTTCCATACAAGGTTATCTTTAACTGCTATATTGTAGCTGTGTGACTTCAGGTGCTCACTGTATGAATTCAGCTTACAAAAGAAGAATCAATTATATACTTTTTGATATCTAGGGTAATGTTGCCTATAGGATATTATTCAAAAAAAACTTAAGGAAAAGAGAGGAATATATGTCGGTGCCATTCAAAAATAAATCACAGAATAAGAACTTAATGATGGGGTGGTAAAGATTGCTGTTCTTATCTGATGCCTTCTTTAAGCTTTTCAATGTCTCCTACGATTGTACATCAGACTTTACATTAAGTTCTCAGTGGCACGGTGAGCACTGCTAT